TAATTAATCTGACATTGCTGTTTGATTCACAAGTAAATAATGGCATTGATTTTGGTGTGTTCCTTGCAGAGCACTATGGCATGGAATATCACGAGTCATATGGACCAACTTTATGATAGTTTTATTATGTTTATAAAACAAAATGCATGAATAGGTACCAGCATCAGCCACTAGAGGCATCATCCCGCCAAAACTCACTTGAATTTGAAAAATCAGGACTGAAATCAAAATCAGTCAGACTCAAATCAGCTGATTCAAATGAGCGATTCACTGAATCAGACATTACTGCTTGGTTATAAGGTTGCATTTCGATGCTTTCCTTGCACAGAATAATCAGAATGGCTTGGAATGCTGAACACAAATCTTATGAACCATGTTTATGATACTTTTATGATGTTTATGAAACATGTTTATTTATCAGCCGACTCAACTGAGCGATTCAATGCATCGGACATTACTGCTTTATTATTAACTTGAATGTTTCTTTGTTCCACCCACAGCACTATCATATGGCTTCAGAATGACTGGTAACATAGTGCACGAGTCAAACAGACCATGTTTATGATACTTTTATGATTTGTTTGCATCCTAAATAAAACTTTCAAGCCTCAGTGCCCTTTCATTGTAATTTTACAGAAAGGCTCCAGCACAGTCTTCAGAGTATCTCCTTTTGTGAGAAAGAATGTCATACAGGTTTAGAGTAGCGAGTAAATTATGACAAAATTGTAATTTCTAGATGAACTATCCCTTTAAAACCATGTCTAAAAAAAATCTGATTTCAAGCATGTATTTTTTTATATATTTGTCTATGAAATTTCCATGTGCAAACATTGCTTTCACCCCTCACAGCATGAGAAAACATGAGCAAACCTCACACAGAATGGATTCACTGTTCCCGCCGTGTCATTCAGCACTCAAAAGCATCCTTGAAATTCAGCACAGTGAATGAGCCTGAACAAGCTGTGCCCAAAACTCACACATTCACACACACACACACACACACACACACACACACACACACACAAACACACGCACCCTTGTGCTATACCTGCCCTATTTCTGGCCCAGCACTCCCCTAGTGTAACATCTGTTGACCTGTAGAAAAACTAAAGACCTGTCCTAAAAATAGACTGCCACGTCATGATCACAATCCCCCCTGCTGCTACACGGATTGCTGTTGAAGGATTCCGCGTTCCCATTTACGGATCGAGATTGTGGAAAATAACACAATGTGCTATTTTCTGCACTTAAATTCTCACTGTCCCACACCATATTCTTATTCTTGGGTAAGAAATAGTGTGGTGTGGGTGGGTATGGTTTTGAGGGTACATTTATGGCCATATGTATGTGAGAGAAAATGAAGGTTAACAAGTAAAATTATTCCAAAGACAAAAATCTGAGAAAAATAACTCTGACTATAAATGTGCATGTGCATATGATTGATAACAATAGCCAATTACAGTTTTCTGTACAATGTACAAATGTAATAAACTAGTCTGGTTCTTCTCCATCTTGTTTTGTTAATACAAAAGGCCTCACGCAAATCTCTTGCATACAACTCAAAGGTTTTACGGCATGATCCGTGCAAACTTTGGCAAATTCAGCAACTAGTTGTTCACGAACACAAGCCATCTGACACAAGATCTGAGCAAATCCAGCCGATGTTGCTGAATCATAACCACTCCAGAGCTGCCAGAGAGACAGTAGTCACACTTTACATTCACGATCAAGCTAAAACACAAAATAAAAGAGAAAAAAAAACATCTATATATGGATGATTCTTCAGTTAGAAGAACTGTCCCCCTGGATAGTTTTAAGAGAAAACGATCATTTTAGTTTTAACGGATAGGTTATAATTAGTGCTGTCAAATGATTAATCGCGATTAATCACATACAAAATAAAATATTTTGTTTGCATAATATATGTGTGTGTTCTGTGTATATTTATTATGTATACATAAATACACACACATACAGTATATATTTGGAAAATATTTACATGTATTTACATGTCTATATTTATATTCATATAATTTATATTAGAAATAAATATATTTAATATATAAACATAACCTATTTTTCTGAAATATATACACGCATGTGTGTGTATTTATATATACATAATAAATATACACAGCACACATACATATATTATGTAAACAAAAACTTTTATTTTGGGATGCGATTAATCACGATTAATCGTTTGACAGCACTAGTTATAATAGAGTGCAACAGTCAGTTTTTCCGGAAGTAAAAATCCCATTCATTTTCTCCATAGGGGAATTGATTTTTTAAGATAACTTCTAAACAATTGAAGACAGACTTACTGTGAGCTACGAGGTTGTTAATCGATAGAATGTGCTTTTGCTAAAGCCATCAGCCTGCATTATTTCAACATATGTTTTAAATAATCATATTTAACAGCAGAATTCCAGGTTAAAAGCTACCTATATTTACTTCAATCACAACATTCATTCGCAATGCTGTAGTTCTTTGCACAGTACAATTTTAATGAAAACAATGCATTTCTATTTTTTATTTTAATGATAAAGCTCAAAATTAACTGATCGCTAACTAACTTAAAAGTCTATCTAAATCTAAAAATATATACGTATCCAAATTTCTCCAGAAAGGGCAAACATCTCAGTCCACATCATTAAAAAATATACCAAAATCCAACTGAAGATTGACCAGGATGTGATAAAAGTATTTACGCACATGAAACAGTTTTTCCAACTAGTCAAAGTGCCCCTAATTGAAGTATCACCCACATGCAGTATGGTTTACACGAGACTAAAATGCTAACAGAAGAAACAACAAGAGAACTGAAGAGTGGAGCTGAACTTTTAAGAATTACATTATGTCATTCAGGGGAGTATCTATTTATTTTGTGGCTTCCACCGAAGCACATCCTGTTCAGGCAGATTAAATGTATCATGCTTTTCAGCTCTTAAGAAGCATATTAGGATGACACAAGCTCCTCTCAGCTGTTCCGCTAATGGTTTCGGCATAATTACTGAGAGTATGGCTATCTGTCTGAGAAACCCACGTGAACACTTCCTGATGGCCGTTTTGGCACACTGACCAGAGTATTTGACATGAACCAGTGTTGTCTGATGTCCTGAGCTTGTCTCGCATTCAGATAATGTGCACTAATGAAGAAACTTCAGCAAATCCAGTGAGAAAATGACCCGCTGTGTCGGATTAGCACTGCGTCATCACTAATTTCAATACAGTGACCACATTTCCCTCGCCCACTGTCGTGACTTGGCCTAATGCCTATCTTGAGAGGCTCTCTAAAGACCAGAGGGAAAATGGCTTGCTGTAAATCTGGAAACAACATGGGAGGTTTAATGGCTAAGCCAAAGTAATCTACCAATAATGATGCTTAACATCACGCAGGTGGGGAAACGACAATAGTCCTTTAGTGAGTAGTGCATGTTAAAGGTACAGTTTGGCTAAAAATGAAAATTCTGACTTTATTTATTTACTCTAATGTTTTTCCAACCCCGGCTTTTTATCTAACAAAAATCTAAATGGCTTTGAAGTCTTGCAATATAGAGCACAAGTCATATGGAATAATTGTATATACTTGTATTTTTATTGCATTTGCGTGGAAAAAATAACATGCATTCTTCAAAACTTCTCCTTGTTTTGTGCTCCATGGAAATAAAGAAAATCAAACAGGTTTGGAACCACATGAGGTGAGTAAATAATGCCAGAATATATTTGAATTGTATATAACATATTCATCCATTTAGACTAGGCCTATACAGATTTAACATCAACAAACTAACAAACTTAATGTGATGCATATTTGTCAGTCATACATAAATGAAACTGGTAAGAAACATGAAAGATTTAGTTTATAGTTAGTAGTTTATTATTACTATTTGCATCTATTTGATTTATAAATCAGTTTTACATACATCATTTTCAAAATGCATTTATTAAAATTGCTTAGAATCAGCAAAAATATGTTCATTGTGAAAACAATTACATTTATTCAGTTAAAAAGTATAAATATTCAGCATTCGGTTATATGTAAATATAAATCAGTTTATTATACTAGCACAGAAATCTTACCCATTCCATTTATATATGACTGACAAATATGCACAAGTTTATTAGTTCGTTTATGCTAAATCTCTGTGATCTGAATACAATTCAAATATATAAATCTTACATTTATGTCTGAATATTTTTTGAGTGTATCATGCATTTGTAGGTCATAACGGTCTGTGGAAGTACAGATGGGAAGCTTGGTCGAAATCTCACACCAACAAGAATATGTTGTTCAACACTGCAACTATCAGTCCTTTGTCACTTAGAATAATGTACCTTTTTTAACCAGTAACGTTCACCTGGGTGTATAAAGAAGAACTGGACAAACAGGGTTAAAGAAACACAGATGCTGTGGCTGCCACACCTTGATCTGTGCTTAAAAATTAAACACTAAATCACACCATTACCCTACATTACTCAATTCTATACAGTCTTATTTGAAGGTATGCTTATGAAAACATGGATTATTTCCACAATGCTGTGATTCACATAAATTCACCTTTCATTTTTTATTTAGAAACCGTAAACATTGACATATACACATCACTAAGTAGGTGCTGTAAAGCATACCAGTCTCTAAATACAAGCCTTGCCTCAAACTGATGGCTGATGGCAACTGCATTCGTGAGAAGGAAGCAGTGCGCTCTGGATATGTGATCAACCATACGAGTCTAACACAGCCTCATGCACATGCAAATATTATTCAAATCGCTTCCCTCCAACAGTGCCACGAAATGAAGGCTTTAAAGACAGAGGCAGAGCATTTCTGTGAAACAAATAACCAATAAACAGTCTCACAATTAAACAGAACAAACCCCTTCCAGGCGCACAAAGAAGCGTGGTAGATTATCCTGATACACTCACAGGCAAAACCGTTTCAGCTCGCTCCGTAACTTTCATTTAAACCGGTCGAATTGGGTGTTTGCAGTACTCACAGTTCAGTAGTCTAACAGGTGAGTGTCTCCTTTTGCGCTATTTCCGTGTCAGTTTCCAGAAATCTGATTTCCCTCGCCGTGGTCCGCCTCTCCGCCCCGCGATGCAACTGCTGACGACGACGCTGAGTGTCTTTCCAGCACCAGCGCGCTTTGAACAGCTCCACTGACGTCACTCCCCGCGAAGCCAACCGACGCCACGCCTATCAGGCCCCGAGACCCCACCCAACACACGCTAGAGTTCCGATTCATCTACACGATTCGAATCTTTTCAATCAATCGGTTCACTAAATGATTTGTTCAGTTTGTACTAGCTAGCATTGGGGCTCTCACTAATGGACCCTGTGATGATGACGCGTTTCAACAGTCATCACCATCTAAATCCTCGAAAGTTTTTCATATTTGTATTTTTAAAAAATTTATGTACATTTATAACCAGTGTTGGGGAAAGTTACTTTTAAAAGTAATGCATTACAATATTGCGTTACTCCATAAAAAAGTAACTAATTACGTTACTTAGTTACTTTTTATGGAAGGTAATGCGTTACAATATTGCGTTACTCCATAAAAAAGTAACTAATTACGTTACTTAGTTACTTTTTATGGAAGGTAATGCGTTACAATATTGCGTTACTCCATAAAAAAGTAACTAATTACGTTACTTAGTTACTTTTTATGGAAGGTAATGCGTTACAATATTGCGTTACTCCATAAAAAAGTAACTAATTACGTTACTTAGTTACTTTTTATGGAAAGTAATGCGTTATATTACTTTTGCGTTACTTTTTAAATACGAGCAGGGCTTGATTGTTTTTAATATAAGAAGTTCTATTTATAGCAAACGTAAAAGCCCTTGCACACCAAAAAGCGTAATGAATAAACCTCAGGCTGAAGCAAAAGTAAATTCACGTCTGTACAGTAGAACGCAGGAGAAGAAACACTCTTCACCAATAAAAAAACAAAGCACGATTGTTAGTTTATATAAAGTAATTTTTGCTTATTAGTATGGTTGAACTGGATCATCAAAGCTCAGCAGCAAAGATATTGGTTAATAAAATGGGATTAGATACATTTGTGTTATTTAACATATTTAATTATTGCAGGTTTGCATCATATTCTGAGTTTTAATTCATTTTGATGAATACTAAATCTGTTTTTTTGTGAGTGGGATGAATTACTGCACATTCACATTTAGTCTAGAACTACAGTAACATCATGTTCTCACAGCGCACACAACGCCTCTGTACTTCTGATTTCTCTCAACATGAGGACAGGAGAGCTGTCAGTCAATAAATGGGAAAACAAAGTAACTGGCATTACTTTTTTGAAAAAGTAACTCAGATATTTTCTTGTAAATTAAAAAGTAATGCATTACTTTACTAGTTACTTGAAAAAAGTAATCTGATTACGTAACTCACATTACTTGTAATGAGTTACCCCCAACACTGTTTATAACACTATTCTTTGTATTATATCACCTTTGCATCAACTTACAAAAAAACAGTTAAAGCTAATGCGAGGGTGTTTCTAATGCAGCATCTATGGGAGGGACGGTAAATTTGACATTGTTCTCTCTTCTGAGTGCCGTTATCAGTCCCTCTCAATTTTTTCCTTTCATTGAAAGTCATGAAAACCCTATCAAGGAGTTTTTCTTTTGCTACTTGAGCAAATGGGAACGCAAAAAATATATTTGTGGCATTCTCCCATTCACTGCTCTTCAAGTTAACCCAACTATGACTTCTGCTGCTGAGAAACACAGAAATGTGAAAAAGGTCCATTGTCCTTCTTTTATATTAAAAATAAGCATGGTGTTACTACAGGGATAGTAAAACTGGAGTAAACATGTTTTTGGCATATTGATTATCATTTTTATCACCATTGTTTCTTTTTATAAATAATGGGTTGATTATGGTACTATAGTATCAAAAAAGTTACATTTATGTTCATTGTGGTTTCACTAAAAATGAAATAATATAGAAAATAAACATAATTCTTAAATATCAAATATGATGAGACACTGGTCTTCATTACTGGCCTTCATTACTTCTCGACTCAACTACTGTAATTCTCTTTTCTATGGTCTACCAAACACAACAATAAAATATATCCAGTATATATCCAACATATACAGAACTCTGCAGCTAGGGTTCTCACTTTTTCAAAGAAACCTTCTCACATTACTCCCATTCTACACAGACTTCACTGAGACCGGAAGCCTAAAAAATAAGTTGAATAGCATCCACATAAGAGTTCGCTGCAGTTATGGGGGGATTTTGATTGGAGGTTTATCTGTTTATCATTTATCATTTATCATCATCATCTGAAAATGTTCTGAAAGTGACAACAATATTGTTCCTTGTGTGGTAATACGATGTTCGATGGTGTGGAAATTATGGCAGAACCTACATTTTGGTTGAACTGTCACTTTAAGAACCATCAAGTGGGATATAAACCACACCATCCTACGTGGTCATCGCATGTTCATTATTGGGGACTCCAAATCCCAGGAGACACTGCGATTGAGTTCCAGCTCCACCGTTGCCATAGATACACTCGCTATCCGCTAGCACAACGCAGCCAAGTTTGCGAAGGTGGCCAAATTGTCAACACTTCTGAAGCAGGCATTGGAGGTATTTAGTTTATTAATTGTTTACAGAATTATATATTAATAGATATTATACACAGTTTTGTTTTAACCTGAAAAATAAAACAAATGCACAGGAGACCGGGTTAATTGTCACACTCCCATTATTATTCACAACGGTTGTTTTCTTTTTGAACGTCAACTTCTGTGCAAAACTCGGCATACTGGCAACAAAAAGTTAGCGAACATTTCCTCCGTTATTAGCTATTAGACAAATACAGTTTATTTAACACACGTTTGTGACAATAGCTGGCCACTATGTGTAAGTCTCAATAAACAAGAGAGTAAAACGCTAACTTACAGTAAAAAAAGCCCAAATCTTCCACAAAATATCAGCATTTTAATTTTTATAGTCAATTTAACACCGTTAAAAAGCAAACAGTAAGTTATATTATGAACTAAACGGAAAAAAATATTATTGAAAAAGCACAAACGGAAAAGGAAACATATTAACATTTTAAACCATTGTTTTGGACAAAAGTAACAACTTTTTTTTAAATCTACAAAATTGCCATACAAAAAAACTTAGATTACTGCCCTGAGAATATAGTTGTGACAAGTTCTTTTACAGCAGGGGCAAGTGTCATAATGTTTCATTTAATGAATGCTCATGTGTGTCCTCTCTTTTTAGCGGGTCTGTTGTGAGCGATGGAGGGATGCATGGTCCGTCTCCACAGTGTCCACTTCAGGGGTGCTTTGAGTGCTCAGCCCATCATAGTCAACTTCCACGAACTCTTCCAAACCAGAGATGCTCCTACAATTCTGCCTATGGTTAACATACATTTCTTTCTTATTTTAGATGCAGATTCTTTCCAAAATAAGTAGATTAATATCACACTAGAAGTCCAAAATAAACTTTATTTTCTATGCAGGTAGTCATTTATAACTGGGTGGGTAATTAAATACCCAACTGTTGTTAATTACTGAAATGATCAATTGTTTCTTTTTTGCATTTTGGATTTTTTTTTTCTTTTACTTTTCAAAAGTCGAGATAACTTTTTGTATTCTGTCAGTTCAAATACATTGGAGAAATCAAATGGATAAACACAAATTACGTTTAGTTAACTAAAATAAAAAAATCTTTTTACACTGAAAAAAATATGTTGAAACAATTTTCACTCAGGAATTGCTAGTAATAATTACAAAGAAATGGCAAGTAACACATTGAATTAAACATGAAATTTTGAAGTAGAAAGACTTAAATTGTATTTTCTACTCTAACTTTGAAAAAAATTACAGTGTTTTTTTTTTCATTTAATAAAACTTTTCTAATATTTCAGTTTATGAAATATAATTTCCAAATATATTTTAAAATATTTAATTAAATATAATTGTATTAATTTGTATTTACATTAGAATGTATCATCACTCTCACCTAATCTGCCATTGGATCTATTTTTCACTGAGATTGTTGCACTACATTCTGGGATTGCCATCTCCGCCAAGGAGATATACAATAGAATTAGGCCCAAAAAGGTATCTTAGTAGGCAACATAATTAAGTTGCGTACCTTTTGGAAAAGCCTATGCGTCAGAAATGTGCCTTAAAATGCTTCCTCCGTAGGCAGCCGACTTGGTTTTGGAACAGCATAAATATGCCAAATTGCCTCATACACGCCTATACACTTACGCCCACCCACACGCTAATTCATTTCAGTCCCACTTAGCCTCTTTTATTATCTTGCTTGCTTTCCCTTCATTGATGTTAATTGATTATTGAGTGCTGTATTCCACTTCCTTTCTGCATATTAACTCCCTCCTTGTTTTTGAATCTTGTTATTATCTGAGCTTTTATTGCTCTTACTCCACAAAATATGAAATTATAGAGCCAGCACAATTGGGAATATAGGTCACGTTTCAGCCACCCCTCGTGTTGTCCAGGAACTCCCAGTCTTAATTGAATGGATTTTTTTTCTCAGCCAGAGCTTTGCAAACATTGGTGTGGGGGGTGGGCGTCACAATGCAGACTGTCATCCTCCTGCACTGGTTTGCACCAGATCTTTGAGTGTTCTTGAGTCTGCTGCTCTTTTCTACATTACCTGAGGCAGATGTTATGATTTTTTTGTGCTTTGATGACATATACATGCATATATTTGTGTGAGCATATATGAATATGTAGATTGTCTTGGTCTTGCAGATAAAGAATGAGGATGTTCTGCGGGCTGTGGTGGCTCTATTGGACACGTCCTTGCCTGGAATTGGCCCCAGAGATGTGCATGAAACAGTACACTACCCTGGGATACATACTATTATTTTGTCACAAGACCATGCAGGTATGTAATTCACCTTGGTTGGGCAATAGAGCATAAATTATGCGAGTGATAGAAATATCCTAGTTTCCAAATATAGAATGAGTGTTGGCCTAAGGCTATTTTATTCTGATTTCTCTTTGCAGATGTTTTAAAGGACTATAGAGGAAGAGCTTCCCAAAAGGAGACAAATTTGAGCCCAGTACCCTGTAAAACAAGAGTGGAAGCTGATTCCACACACAAGCTGCTGGCTGAGCTGTACAGCGACTCTGAAGAGAGTGCAGAGGAAACCTCAGAGGAGATAATAGCAACGGAGACAAGTATCAGGTTAAGATTTTTTAAAGTAATTATAATAGTGTGATCACATTTGCCATTGTTCTGCAAATTGTCATGGGCAAAATCCAGTCATGTGGAATCCACGTAATTGGGAATTTCACATGACGGTGAAAGATTTTCCCATGCACATTTCAAGTTGGTTTCAACAGGTTCAAGTTGGTCACATGGAAAATTGCTTAGTTTGTATTGCTCAGTGCACACTGTGCAATAAATTCTAAAAATTAAAGGTTCCAAAAATGGGTTTTAGCAGTGAAGCCATAGATTCTATGGCTTCACTGCTAAAACCCATTTTTGGAACATTTACTATGGCATAGAAGAACCATTTTGGGTTCCCCAAAGAACCTTCCAGTTAACAGTTCTTCAAAGAACCATTATTTTCTTCTTAGTGGGAAGAGCATCTGAATAATCTGAAGAAACTTTTTTTCCCAGTAAAGAACTGTTTATGAAATGGAAAACTTCCATGGATGTTTAAAGGTTCTTAATGGAACCCAAAAAGCTAATAAAAAAGAACTATTATTTTTAAGACTGTGTAACAAAAGTGGATGGTGGTTTATACTGTCAAGTTCCAAAACAGATATATAAGTATCATAAAAATGACTATGTTCAAAGTCTTCTGAAGTCATATGATACCTTTGTGTGAGAAACGGACTAAAAACGAAGTCATTCATTAAGTCATGATTGAGAATTAATGAGAGTGAATATGACATGACTAGTCACAAATCGTTTGTTGATTCTGTTAAAGATAATGGGATTACAAGAGCTTTTTCCCAGATCCTCCCTGGCGAACAGTTTGCCAAGCGTTCCTTATCACCTCTATCTCTACTCCTATAGGCGTTGATCTGGAAAGAAGTAAATTTTTATATTTTCATTTATTACATTTTAGAAGGACATTTAAAGGTGTCATATGATGTTGCTAAAAAGAACATTATTTTGTGTATTTGGTGTAATGAAATGTGTTTATGTGGTTTAAGGTTAAAAAAACACATTATTTTCCACATACCAGGGTTGGGCGATGTCTACCAAATTGGCATCGGACGATGTCTGCAGTGAAACATCGTGATGGACGATGACATTGGGGGGCGGGGCAGGGTTAGGGGTGTGCTTGAAACGTGAAACAAATAATGCGTTCTATGGAGCCACTAAAAGGTTAGCCGCTTGCTAGCAGTAGCCTGTTGCATTACAGTACATGAAAGTTCACTTACCACATACACAGAGTTAGGAGAAATGTCTGATAGAACGATGACAAATGATTTGCAGATCCTGAGCACCAATGACAAACATCTAATCTTGTCAAATGTGTGGTAAGTACTGCAGCTCCATAGTATAGAGTCCTTGTGATCTCAAATCTCAAAAGTGAAAGTGAAAGTAAAATGAGAGCGCGCAATCGAAAGCGGTTTCAATAGCGGCTCCCTGATGCCGCAATTTATATACAGTCGCCTATACTTACCCAACGATATAATTGCGAGAAAAAGTATTGAAATATATATTTTTTTATCCTCCCGTCTCGTAGGATATTTATTCCCTTTAGGGTTTCCGTAATACACTTCATTTTCTTTCCAAACACGGAACTGGGATGCGGCGGATTGCGGGAGGGGGGGTGGGGATGGGTGTAGGAATCACGATGTCAGCTTAACATCGTGATGGCTGTCAGCCATTGGCAATGGACGATGGCATCGTCTATCGGCCCAACCCTACCACATACTGTACATTATTTTTGCTCCTCTATGCCCCGCCTTTCTGAAACTCGTCGATTTTTACAAAACTCATCGTTCTGAGGAAGCGAGGTGTGCGCTGATTGGCCAGCTATCCAGTGCGTTCTGATTGGCCGAATGATGGAAATGTTACGCCCCTTACCATACTGTGATGCCCGGCGTGACGAGACAAAACCAATAAAACTCATTACAAACGAGGCATTTGTAGCATCCAGTGGGGACATAATTACTGATTATAATGACTTATACTGTCTTTTTACGCATTGCGTTGCATATCGCGCAGCGTAAACATAAAACCATGTCTGCATTTGTGACCGGAAAAAGGACAAACAACAAGCGCTGCTCTACACTGCTCAAAATTCGTGTTTGAATCGTCAGTGGCAAATTCTTTAAATATGAAAACATACTTACAGGCTGAGTCAGAAGCGCCAGACTGTCCTTGCAAAGTTGGAATTGCCCCACTTTATAGAAACAGCCTTTGTGCACAGACACATTGCAGGCTACTCTCCCAGGAAACAGTCCTCCATAAAATGCGCTGCACACACTCAAATATTTGGTTTGAACTGTTCTGGAACAGTGTTGTATATACAACTTAACCACTGATTTCTAGTTGTGTCCTCTTTTGGAAGACCAAACAAAGTAGTTTCGCTTTCACAACGAAACACACAGTGTCTCCACGACATGGCAGCGGCGGCAACAATACTACAGCGAGAATAAAAGTTATGCCTTCTTTCTTTGCGTATACATTTGGGCGGTGTTATGCAAATCTTCCCACACAGTGACGTAGACATGTGGGGGCGTGTTTAAATGAGTCATTTTAGGAGGGCGTGGACGACTCTTAACTTTTTTTAAGAATATCTCTTTGGGTCTTTGCAACTTTGGGATCTTATCTATGTACGAATAGCTTGTAACACTCCAAAGAGAAAGGAAAACTTGAAATCGCATCATATGTGCTTAGTGCATGGTGTGACAGAATATTGTTGCAAATTTGATTTTGTACAAAATTTCTACCCAGATTCACAAAAGGAATATAATTTGTATTTGCATTATACTAAATGTATATATGTGTGACTATTCTAATAATTATTTTAACTTTTGAATGCAGTCATAATTTCACAATGTTGTCAGAGCCTTACCACACATTGGGCTTTGGTGCTCATGTTCTCTGTTCTCCATAGTTGGTCTTGGGAGCGATTCTGTGAAGGCCTCCAGGAATTTGTAGACGGAGCGAGGGATAGGAAAGAAAAAAGAGCAGTACAACGAGAAGACAGAAAGATTCCCCCATCCGCCGTAGGAGTTGAATCTCTGATCGTGGCTGCTGCTTGCTACGAACTCAAGATACTGTAAGCAAAAGCACAAGCACTGTGCCTGATTCAATCAAACAGCTGCGAAAGAGCCATATAATACTATTTTGTGCAAAAATAAATAAATAAAACACACTAATGCTTTAAAGCAAGATAATTTTCTTCTGTTAGCATCTCATAACATCATCTGGCAATGCAGTAAATCTTTTGTCAATTGCATTTTATAGTCATTTTTGCAATAAAGAGGAAGTTACACTGAAAAAACAGGGATATTACACAAAATGTAAAGTATGAGATAAACTTCTTGTTTGTTGCATTCTACAAAGCATTTTCACACTTTTTGTCTTCATACACAGTACACACTCACACACACGTCTACCTCACAGAATACTTTCTGTGCAGAATCATCTTCTACTGTACTTTCAACGCACACATCCAAATCAAACTCTGTCCAGCTGTAAGAACAAGCGCCTGACTGTCCCTCCCATAGCCTCAGTCAGCATTTCAGCTCTTTATGAGTGGATTCCATCCAGGATTCCTAAAAAAGACTTTATTTATATCATCAAACCGAAACAAGCCTGGTCATTATGAGATCCCACTGAATGGTGTTGCTCCACCCTGAGTCTATTTCCATTCCAGAGGGGCTGAAGAGTGGAGAAACCTGCCCTGCCCTGCTGGCTGTGGGGTGTTATTACCAGTCAATGAGAGACTATGGCTTCCTCTCTCTCCTTTCCCTCTTTTGCACTCTGTATTTGTGCCAATCGCTTCCACATGGCCTGTGGTTTAGTTTAACCTCAAGCGTCTGCCACACACACACATTCTCACTAGAACCTGTCTTACTGTGACAGTTAAAATGGATGTTTCTCAGAAACGTAATGAGAATCAAATTAAGACATAAGCTGATTTTAATAAGAACAATGATATGGAGTCTTCTGCTTCTGTCTGTGAATTGTAGGTCTACAGGAGACATGGTGCTTCAGCTGTCTCTTTTAGCTGTTAGAAAACGTTACCGGCACCTTGGGATTGGCAGCCACATAATGGAGGTAAACACATACACAAATTGTTTCTGCGTGGACCTTCTCAATCTTCTTGTACTTGTTCTACTTTGCAAATGACAATGTATATCAGTGCTGCTGTGTCTTTACAAATTATTTAATGAACACAGCCTATAAGCTTGTATTTTGCATAGACACTGCCCTCTGTTGTTTGCATTTATTTATGTTTTTTGTAAGTACTCTTTCCTATATTTTTTGTTTCAGCTTTTGAAGACTCAGTCTATAGTGGGGAAATATGATACACTTGTTGCCCACGCTGACACTGATGCAATAGGTTTCTTCAAATTCCACGGGCTCACCGATGACCCTCTGCTCAATGACCAGTTCAAGTACAGATAATGCATCCCACAATGCATGTTATGCTAAATCTAAATGCATAACAATAATTGTCTATATACAACTATCTAATGCATATTGTACAAAAGTACATAAAAAAGGCCAAATTGCTGATTATATTTAACACTTGGCCCATATATCATATAAAATGTCATATAAAACAGATGGAACAAGTGACTCGTTCTTGGCCAAAATTAGCTGAAAACTGACTTTAAACAAGACTTTATGCTGATCATTAAACATCATCTGGCTCTTTCTGTGAGACCAATGTGCCTCTATTGACAGCAGATATAAGACGGGTTTCTGAATATTTTTTTTTATTGTTTAAACAAACAGTGCCATCTATAGGCTAGGTGGTATATGACTGTGGTAGCATGAAATTTTAAAATACAATAAATTACTTTAGGTAGAAGTATAAAGAACCTCCCATCCAAACACCAGAGGGTGCTGGAGTTTAAATATTTGTACCTTTTACTGCAGACTTAAAGAAGTCAAACGTTAATTGTTTGATGCCCATTCTCACATTAGGGATGTAAATCTATTAAAATATTTAATTGCAATTAACCTAAAATGTTTCTGTAGTTAATGCATTTATTTAATTTCAAAAATATTAGTAAAAATATTTAAATATATTAATAAATAGTTATTAGGCACTTCAAAATAAAATAACACTGGTAATACAATCAAAACAGTAATTCAGCATTGATATTAAGCAGTCACACTTGTTTTTAAAAGTTTGTTGTGATGGCACTCTATAACCATAACACTTATTTTTGTTTTGGTGTATTATACAGAGAGCTGAAAGATGATTGGACTAACAGTATTCTCATGAGCTACCTGCCACCCTTTACTACAGGTGAGGCATACACACACACATACACACTCATGAACACACACTTACAACTTCATGTTTTCATTCTACACATTTTCCTTTAGACCTAGAAATGAGAAATCCCGTTTTCTCCCTGAGTTTACGAGAGGTGGAGATGGACATGGATGTGGCGTGAGTTAATATTCATTGTATTATGCATTTGCTGGGTGTTGCTGGGTAGTTACTACATTTGTCCTAACCCTAAATAGGAGCAATTATCTTTGCAAGCATCACTAAAAATAATCTAAAGCATATTGAACAACATCTGATAACCAGGTTAATGGTGTCTTTGTTTCTTAGAAGGTCGCAGGCTCTCTTTGCATATCAGCAACAGGTAATGTGTGTGACGAGACTACTCGAAGAGGTCAAGATCTTACGCAAACAGGTGATAATACATGATATTTGATCATGCCCTTACTAATCGACAGCTGCAATTGAGTGCATTATAATCATACAGACTCTGTGCTTCTGTCATGTTGCTCATGTATCTCTCTCTCTCTGTGTGTGTGTGTGTGTGTACGTATTCACATGCTTCCATGGTGACTGGCTTTTCAGCTAGATCTACAACGTGAGGAAGTGGACCGCCTCAACTCCAAGCTGGAACAAGAAAAACGAAAGCGCCATGATATAGGTATGTTTGTATGAGTGCAAATTTGTTATACCTCAATATTTGCCTGCCTGTTTTACACAGAACACAATTGTGAGGGTTAAAGCAGGACCTACTGTACCAGTCAAGTCTAAAAAGCATTTTGGTCATTTGATGTTTAATATTGGACAGTTTAATCATTAAATAGGTTGGACCCTTAACGCTTACCTTCCTAACCCTATTTCTTTCTTACTTTTTCCTGATCTTTTTAACCATTTTTTTTCTAATTTTATCTTTTCCACTTCCCTATTCCCTTTTTTTAATCGTTATCCTTCTTTCGCTCTGATTTTATATTGGTTAAATGTATATAATATATCTAGTTTATATTTTTGTTTTTGTGGTTATCTCCCAATTTAAAGGTGCCATAGAATGCATTGTATGTGGCTTAGGTAAGGGCAAAAAATCTCCAGAAACAATTTTACATGTCCATTTACAACCCTAGGATTTGTCCCTAGAATTAAATGGTCAGTTTTTACCTTATTTGGAAGGGTCATGAATAATAATGTTGAGCTCTGCTCTGATTGGCTGTTTCACAGTGTGGCTCAATGTTGAGCTCTGCTCTGATTGGCTGTTTCACAGTGCGGCTCATTTCAGGAGCTCACACAGCAGGAATGAAACACAGGGAAAATCTATATTTCAATACTGTCTCTTGCAGTTATAACGCTGGGTAATTATACTGTATATAAAATGCGGGCAGCAGGAAGCTAATGTAACAGGCTACCGCTAGCAAGCAGCTAACCATATCCCTTTAATGACTCGCGTTATTTTATTAGAACACGCGTTATTTGTTTTCCGTGCCTTTCTGAATACAGACACCAACCCATCCCTGCACATCACATCCCCTGCACAGCTTGGAACATAACATTTATTTCCATGATCTTCCATTTTCGCTATTATCCTCACTTGTTTCTTCACAATACCTGCATAACTTCTGATGATTCAGCTGTGCAGGTTTGGCTGGCGGCTGGCATAGAACATGGGCGGGTATATGCAAATGTTGGGGGTGTAACTATTAGTGATCCCGACTGTAACGTCACAGTCGGTGTTATGTTCTGATTCGCCTATTTTTCAGTGTGCATGCACAAGATTTACATAAGAAGGACGAAGCAATGGTGTTTGAGGCTCACGGTATGTCATTTCCATGTACAGAACTGTTATTATTCAACTATGCCAAGGTAAATACAGTTTTCCATTCTATGGCACCTTTAATAAAGTTTAGACTTAGGGACTTTTAAGTTGAAATAAGATATGTTTGAGTCTTTCAAAACTTTATTCTCTAACTCTAAATTAATTCTGAGTGTTATGTGTTAGTGTTAGATGATGGAAAAGGTAATCTAAATGTTAGAGGATGCACAATTTAATATCCCTAATAAGCAAATACTGCTAAGTTACCAAATATTAGCTAAAAAGTTACAGAGAAGAACTTATTAAAAAGATTATTAAATTGCTGAAAAATATTTTGAATGAATGTACAATTTATTTTATTCATATTTACATATTCTGTAGAAAACAAGTTCTTGATGTACAGGCTGAAGAACTCAAAAGAACTTCTAGACAATATTGCCTCAGACTCAGGTGAGTATTTCTTTTTCATCTAGCAGCTGCAAGCAACACATATGAACTGTGATACCCTCCAATCTTAGCTGATTCGATCAGTTGCTCTGAAATGCTCATGTGCTTATATAATGGTTACTTACAAAATCCCTGCCTATCACATTGACTCAGCAACCATGATACTCTTTTGAAGCACATGACCAATAACAAGTTCAGACTGACCTTTGCTCGCACCTCCAATTATAAGAGCCACTTGTCTTCTAGCCTGTGACTCATAAAGCTGTGGGCTGGGTTATAATGATGACTCATAAAGCACTACTGGCTCCACAGTGAGGGATGAAGAAAAACCCATAAGATCAATCCTGTCTATAAAATCAAAAGCGAAGAGAGGCACAATAATGAGTTCAATAAATTCAATGTATGAAGAGGTCCACATGGCCAGTCTTCTCCAGTCAAACTAAAAGACATTTATTGAAGTAATAAGCCACTTTAGACTTGTGGCTTATTACTGTGTGTGTAAACATTGGCTATTGTACTAGAATTCAAATATGGCTCATCCAATAAAGTGCTTTGTAATTGCTTTCGTCTCAGGAAAGCTAATGTTGAGTTGTAAGAACTGACATTAAGCATAAGTGTGTAGGATATGTTGGATTATCTTTGTATTTTCCAGATGATCAGGGACTAACTGAACAGGAGCAGGCAAAACCAGGAACACAAGAGCAAGAAACAGCACAGTCTGAAGAACCTCCCATCCAAACACCAGAGGGTGCTGGAGTTTAAATATTTGTACCTTTTACTGCAGACTTAAAGAAGTCAAACGTTAATTGTTTGATGCCCATTCTCACATTTTTGCATTTGTTTGTATGTTTATTTGTACCTCTGTCTCGTAGTTTTTGAATGTCATGTTTTTGGGGGCACTCTCTTGGTTGCAAGTACTAAAAAGTCTCTGGACCATTTACATAAAAGCTTTGGGAAATAAAACAAACCAGTTTTGAATTTGAAACAACACACTTTTTATTGGGTAACTGCATTTGAAATGCACTTAGAAGAAGGTATCATATGCTAAAAGATAGGCATCATTATACAAGTAGAGTTTTCCATCAACTGGATTGTAGTTCAGATTGGCTATTCCAGCAGAAACCTTCTCAAAAGGCAAAGAAAGAGTGTTTATCTCTTGACCAGTGGTTGTATCGAAAGCATAAAACACCTCTTCTTGGTAAGTATTAACAAAGCGTGTAGCATACAAGACCCCGCACATCATAAACGTGCTGGTGACGGACCTCTTAAAGAGTTGCGTCTTCCAGGTATGAGTAATATTGAGCGCTAGTGGGTCTAAACGGCTCACAACAATGTTGCCGTGATTCTCCTCAGTGGCGTATATCACCCACATGGCATCTTGATCAGCCTCCAGGTCGATATCGGTCCAATCACGACAGCTGTAGTAGCAGAAAGGGAACTTGTTGTCGATTCCGGCACCATCCAGTTTCACACGCTTGGTTACTTTTGTTGTAATGTTGAAGCTGCAGATTTCAGCGGTGCTGTAGCATTGGTAAAATACAGTATTGTCATACAGAATAGTGCCAGAGCCCTGAACAGCATTTTTGTCGCTGTACGATGATGCTATCTGTTCATCCTTGTAGTTCCTGTTGGCCATGAAATCTTCATATGAGTTGTACATTCTGATTGTGTTGCCGTACTTGTGTCCGCTCACTAGACAGTGTTCCCAATAGCGTTTTTTACTGCTTAGCTGGGCATCACGGCCCCAAGCACCTGAAATATAGGACTTGCTGATGGAATTGAGCTTGGTGATACTTGGAGAACTTATTCTGGTCATGATGCGCTGATGACAAGTACCTGCAAAATTTAGTAACACTTTTTTTATTTTGTTAGAACCTTTTTGGATCTTCTTAATTCAGAAAATGGCATTTGAAAACAATTATATTCCTTAAAAGTTTCTATATCCTACCTTCAGAAAAATCATTTTAAAAAATCAGTAATGTACGTACTTCTGAAATCATTTGGTATGGTCTTGCAACTCTGTGCACGGTTGTTGAGGTCACGTAACCTCTTCTTCATGGTCTCTAGGTTGAAGAAATCATCTTTGTACATCCTCTGGACATCATTTTTTGCCTTATTTAACTGAGAACAACAGATGGTCTCATTAAATTGGACACCTATTTTTTATATTGTTGAGATGTTTGTTGTCGTCTCTAATTCGAGATAGATTTGAAAGAAAGGAGTTTAGAGAAATATTTGTGATCATGTGTTGCAATGTCTACCTCACTGAGTAGATTATGTGTCTCTTTGTTGGAGTTCTGCATGTGTGTTTCATTGACAGATTGATGGATATCCTCAAGTTCCTGGTTCAGCTGTCGCAGATGAAGTGCGCTGTACAGTCCACTTGTGTGCAGGTAACCAAATGTTTTCAGACGGGCTGAGATGTTCTGAAGAGTGGCTTCCATCATAGGCAGTTCTGCATTTGTGTTCCTCAGCTGGAAGTCACTTCAGAAAGTTAACTGATATTCTTCTCAATTGTAATGAACATCATTTGAAAATCAATACTGTGTCAATTTAGTTTTAATTGTCATTAGAAGCTTAATCGATACCTTACCTTTTCCTCAAACTCATTCAGTTTGTCCTCACAAATCTGGACCTGTCTTGTGACTTCCATAAACTGTAGAGTGGGGAATGTCCAGATAGAGCTGTTTATTTTACACAAACATGAATCAGTCTTCTGTTGACCTGGAACTCTCTGAGCCTCGACAGTCCCCTTATGTACAAACATAATTAGATTATTGTATCATACATACGTTCTCTCATATTTTCTCTCAGAATCATTATTTTTTAGTTGTCGGAATGCTGGAAACTTGTGATCTTATTCAAGACAGAGAAACTTACGATAAATGCGAGGAGCAGCAGGAAGACAAACATAATGTCCAAATGGGCAGAAAGATTAGAGATCTACTTGAAATCACCACACAAGCACTAAGATGTTGCAATTTTAGCTATGCAAATTAGCATTTTTGTGGGGCTGTTGAAGAGGATGTGAAAATTGCACATATGTCTCATTTCTGAAATTCCGGAAGAAATTTAGTTGAGAAATGAGAGAAAATTCAACCACAAATACTTCCCTAAAAAATTGTACCACCCCAGGTCATCATAAATTTTATGCAGATACCTGCAATTTTATTAGCAAATTGGTTTCAGTATTGTATCATCCTATTGAAACGACCGGAATAAAGGAAACACAGTCTCTTAGTAATATTTCACTTTTTCACTCATGTCAGTACAATATTATAAAATATATATGAAAATGCATGTACACTATATGGACAAAAGTATTGGGACACCCTCTTCTAATGAACAGGTTTGACTACTTCAGTCATTTTCATGAGTACAAATCTTAATTTTAAAGAATATAATGATATTCTAGGGAATTGTGTGCTTTTAATTTTATAGCAACAGTTTGGACAGGACCCTTTTCTATTCTAACATGACAATGCCTCTATGTATATGGCAAGGTTCAAAAAGAAATTACTGACTATGTCATTGTCCTTTGGGAAGGTGAACCTTCTGCCCAGTCTGAGGTTCTGAATGCTCTGGTCTAGGTTTTCATTAAGGCTATATCAATATTTTGGTGCATTGAGCTTTTCTTCTACTCTGATGAGTCCTTCAGTCCCTAACGCTGAAAAACAGCCCCACAGCAAGAGGCTGCTACCAGCACACTTTACTTTATACTCTGCAGGTGATGAGCAGAGCTGGCTTGGAATTGAAGTTCATCAGACCAGAGAGTCTTGTTTCTCAGAGTCTGAGGGTCTGAGAGTTTGGCCACACTGCCATAAAGCCCAGATTTTTTTTTTTTACCTCAGGACTTGGTTTTTTGCTCTGATATGCATTATCAGCTGTTAGACCTTTTATTAAGACGTGTGCTTTTCCAAATCATACCCATTCAATTGAATTTGCCACAGGTTAACTCCACTCGAAGTGTAGTACAAGCTATATGAATGCAACAGATAATGGTATGGATACTTATGCAATGGAATCATTTAAGTTTTTTTTATTTTTAATACATTTGCAAAGTCTCTGTTTTTTGCTTTACCATTATGGTGTATGGACTGTAGATTGATACAGTAAGGCACTGTGTATATATATATATACACACACACACACACACACAATATTAACAAAAATCATAATCTCATTCAAAATATTTGCAGGATCAGATGATGAACTTCCTCATTTTGCAATTTCTCTCATGTCAGCAGAAACATTCAGCTCACTAACAAATCCTGGGTTTTTGGCTTTAAACCTGAGCTTCTATCTTTCTGCAAAGCAAACTGTTCTTTATTTCCAAGGCTACAGGATACTGTCCTGTCCTGTCTCAAACATGAGTCAGTCAAACATATTCATTTTGATGGTTGTCATTCCTCTAATTCTCTCACAGGTAAAATTGAACTGTCCATTATTTTTATTTAACATTATTACTGACAGTATTTTTCAATATTCTTTTATATATTACAATTTTTAAGGTGTAATTTTGCTTGCATGTTGGATTTACTGTTATTTTGTGTTCACAGTCAGCGAGAGGAAAGGACTGCGTGTGTGAGCTACAAAATTCTGATCCTGCTTTCCCTGAGAATAAACTCAATAATGTTGAGTTCACAGCAACACAATGCACTGAGAACATCACTTCAGAAAAGGTAGAAACAAAATATGGCAAAATATACTATTGTGATGTTTAGGGTTGCAAAGCAGGGATGTATGATAAAACATTTTTTATAATTGCAGAATAATTCTTTACAAATGTATTACTGATGCTAAATTTCTTATTCAATTGTTACCTACGTAATCAGATGACAGAGATTGACAGGCTGGTGTTGGGTCTACAACACCGTATCCGACAGCTTCTGGACAATGTATTCATGCTGGAAAAAGAAGACAATGGAAATCTGTATGCAGCCGTGTCTCTACGCATTATTGAATTAGAGTTAGACGAGATTCAAGACCTTCTGGACAAACTCAACAGAACCACTAACAATTACCAGCAGCTGAGTGTAAAGGCTGCTACGGAGGTAAATTTATATTTATATATATTGTGCATTGAATTTATTTAATATACGAGTTTCACAATTTGAGTTGAATTACTGAAATAAATGAACTTTTCCACGACATTCTAATTTATTGAGATGCACCTGTATATTATATTTAATTAGAATAGGAAATGAGTTTGTGACGCAGTATGTTATGCTAAGAGTAAAATAATTCCTCACCAACACTCAGTCACATACATTTGCATTCATAAGAAGATTCATTGTTTCATAGTCACTTTAGGTGTTGTAGAAAATGATAATGCTATTAAATTGATAATGTATTAAATACATATTTCCTTGAATATTTATAAGATTTTAATTCATGCTTTTTTATTCTTTTCTGCAAAGTTTCATGATATGATAATGCTTGAAATGCATTACATTAAAGAAAATATTTAATTTAAAAAAATGTAATATAAAACTTTAAGTTAAATGAATATTTAATTAAATGTAATCAAATTTAAATGAAATTGAATTGATATATATATAAATACATCACATCAAGAAAACTATTAATATTTATATTATAATTAATTCAATACTTCTTAAACAGAGATTTTTACATGGATTATGTGCACTTTGCTAATTCTTATGTAAACCTTTCTACAGCTTCAGGATATGGAGGAAACAATGACAGAGCTGGAGAACTTTGACCACACGCAGGTGATGGTGAAACAGCGGGAGAACCAGCATATTAAGAGGGATCTGGAACGGTGCAAAGAAGAGTTCAACAGTACATCA